AAACTGTAAGCTAAAGCTTAGTAAGTTCCCCCGAAACATACCCCACACAATCCACATCAATACATAATCCATAATAGCTATAAAAGCTACATAAACCATATAAGCCATGCATACAAACAGATAAGGAAGCCATGGAAACTCTCCAGGGTCTTACACCTAGTGCCACTGGAACTCCCACGTGGTCTTAACTAACTGCCATGGGAACCCCCACATGGTATTCCGACCATGGAAAACCCCACATGGTCTTCCTGCCGTGGGAACCCCCAGACGGTCTTTACAATCAAGAGATGACATACAAACTACACAAGCAAATATACTAGAATGCAATGGAAACCCTCGAAGGTCTTACATATAAGTGCCTCAGGAACCCCCCCGAGGTCTTTTATGCAAGTATCACAAATAACTAGCATATCAAGTATCCCATAACCAACTAATCATATATCATAACAATAATGGGCCGGCCTTGGTGCCTTAGACCCATTGGTATGGTGAAGAGATTCACCTATCGTGAATGTTGAACTGCCAAGCTAAGATCAGATAAATCCTACTTGTTTCTCAACCTCAACAACCTATAATCATCATGTAATTGACTTGTCACAATCCCGAATTACCATAGTTTCCCTCAAAGTCAACCCTGGTCAAAGTCAAGGTCAACAGTCAATGTTAACCTCGACTCGTCGAGTGTATCCAGCAACTCGTCAAGTTACCCGAGTAACTCTTCAACTCGCCGAGTTAGCTATATAACTCGTCGAGTTTCTCAATGTCCGGAAGACCGAAAACCCATGAAGGCAGAAAACCCCAATCCTTCATAGAAATCACTCGGAATCTCGAAAACGGGTAAACCCTATTCGACTCGTCGAGTTGTCTAAGGGACTCAACGAGTTCCTTCAGTCCTTTTTCTGTTCAGTCCTTTTCAGTGAGATCCAAGGTCCCAAACTTCAGATCCAACTTCTCCTAGTGTAGTTAAAGTTGCAAACTTTACGTGCATGCAAGGCCTCTCAAGGCTAAAACACCAAAACTAAGGTTCCTACAAGGTCTTAATGCATGGAAAGGGCCTAAGCTGAATAAAGAGAGAAACTTTATGTCATTGAGAACCTAGAGGGGTCCAGATCCGGAACCATATCCTTGTTATAAGTCCAAATCCGAGTATGACCCCATTTTGCTCCCAAAGTGACCATATTCTTCCATAAAAGGAGATCTAAGCAAATAGAGATCAAGTTAGCAACTTTTTACATCTAAATGGATGCTAACAACAAGTAGTTGTAGGATCCAAAGCCTTCTACTTTCTTCAATCTCCTCAACCTCCAAGTTTCCTTCTCAAAAGCACAAGTTCCACCCTCCAAGGCTCACACACACTCAAGGAAGCACCAAAATGCAGCTAGGGTTTTTTTTCTAGACTGTAAGAATGATTAAGGAGGCTACAAATGAGCCATAAGTTCTTTAAATAGGGTACTAACCTTTAAAAATTAGGGTTTTCCTCTACAACGCCTACTCGTCGAGTCGGGGCCTTTCGACTCATCGAGTAGGTTCTAAGTCTCGCGTCCACATAAATGATCTTTACTCGACGAGTTGGAGCTCCCCAACTCGCCGATTCTATGCACAAAACCCTAAAAAAAAATAGATAACTTAATTAATACGTGGAACAGGTGTTACATTAAGATGTGATTGTTTTTTATTAAACAATAATTTGATTGTATTAAGCTGTGAATGAAATGTGTTAAACTGCGAATTTATTGTATTAAGTTGTGAATTGTTTTATCAATTCCTTGTTTGCTTCTGAAATATATGATGAAAGTAGCATTATATACATATCTGATTTAATCTAATTTTGAACAAACTATGTAAAATTCTAATTGTGAAGATTTGTGTAAATAAACTTTGAAAGAAACATTAACATATAGATATAACGGTATATATGTAAGTTTTAAGTTAAGAATATGGTTGTGAATTTATAATTTGTGTGCATTAAATTGTGAAGTTTTTATATTTAGTTGTGACTTTTGTGTACTGAACTGTGAATTGATTGTATTAGGCTATGAATTTTTAATGAATTTTGTGTTAAAATGTGACTAATTTATGTATGAATGTTTGTATTAATTCTTTTGTGAATATATTTACTTTTTGTGTTGTATAAATATGCAAGAATATATTAGTTTTTATAATTATTTTGCATTAAACTCTTAATTAGTAAACTAATTGGTTTATTAAACTCTAAATATAATATTTAAGCTATGAATCCATGATTTTATATACAGGTCTGATTTGGAAGGAATGATAGTTGCGAAAGTGGCACATGTAGTTGGTGGCGGTGTCTAGTCATTAGTAATGGTGGTAGTGTTTGAGTTTAACTTATTTGAATTTGTGAATTAATGTATAATGGATTGTATTATGTTGTGAGCTTATATATTAAACTAAAAATTGACTGTATCAAGTTGTATATATTATATAAATTTTATGTTAACATATGAATGAATGTTTGCCAAAAAAAATTAAACTATGTATTAATGAATTAATATGCTTATTAAACTTTGAATATGGTATTTAAACTATGAATATGTCTTATACATAGTATATTTTATAAAGAAATTTACAATTTAGAAAAAAAAATTTGAATTTGTTAAAGCATAAATCTAATTTTTTTTATTAAAATTTTATATATATGGCTGCAAAAAAAATGGTATGTATTAAAAAGTATTACCAAACAAATGAAGCGTACAATGGTTGTTCTATTAAGATCTGAATACGACTAGAAAACGCCATTCAATTTGGTGTTAGTCCGACGGCGGTCCGAATATGGTCTGACGACTATCCAACAGCAAGTGGCAACTAATTGTAAACTAGGGAATGAAAATGTTTGTTTAATATAATATTAATCTTTGATTTTTCCAAAATCCCCTTAATGAAAACATTTAAAAAAATAGTTCTTAGGTTCTTAACCTTTTTGGGTTCTCATTTAAACTACTCCCAATATATATATATATATATATATATATATATATATATATATATATATATATATATATATATATATATATATATATATATATGGGTGAGATCGGTTGAGAACTCATAGTTTCCTGAGAACCTGAGAACTAAAGGTGGAGCGTTAAATCAAAATTAACTCATTAAGGGCATGATCGTAATCTTACCGATTTCATGTAATGTTTATTTTTTTGTGTTATTGAACAAAATTAACATAATAAATCCAATTTCGGATTTTTTTTTAAAATTATTTTTGATTTTTTATTAAAATGGAGATTTTTTTTTAAATGGAGATTTTTTAGTTTTTTTTTTAGAAAACGTTAATTTTTAAAAAAAAATTCAAAAAAACTAATTTTTTAAAAAAACTGCAATTCTTTAAAAAATATGTTTTTTAAACTGTTTTTAATTTCAAAAAAACTGCATTTTTTTCCAAAAAAAAAACTACAATTTTTTCAGAAAAACAGTAATTTTTTTATAAAAAAACTGCATTTTTTTCAAAAAAAAAAACTAGAATATTAAAAAAAAAACCCTAATTTTTTTAACAAAAAAAAATCAACGTTTTAGGTGCATATATACATATTTTTTCAAATGCGTATATGCATATTTCTTATAGTCTAATATTCGTACGTAAATCATAAAAAACTTATTTTTATTAATCAATATATAAACATAATAGTACAAGTATTTAATTCGATACAAAATAAAATATAAAAAATAAAAAAACTACAAAGATTCACAGTGTTATCATTTCTTCATATCAAGATTTTCATATTTTCTTCAATTTCACTTTTTACATCTTCAAAATTGTCCACAAATTCGCTTGTGAATTAAATGTGATTCATATGTGAATTACATGTGATTTATATGTGAATCACATGTAATTCATATTTCATATGTGATTCACTTGTGAATTACATGTGATTTATATGTTAATTACATGTTATTTATATGTGAATCACATGTGATTTATATGTGAATCACATGTAATTCATATGTGAATCACATGTAATTCATATGTGATTCACTTGTGATTTATATGTGAATCACATGTGAATTGTATGTGAATCATATGTAATTCATATGTGATTCGCTTGTGAATTACATGTTATTCATATGTGAATTACATGTAATTTATATGTGAATCACATGTGATTTATATGTGAATCACATATAATTCATATGTGATTCACTTGTGAATTACATGCGATTTATATGTGAATCACATGTGATTTATATGTGTATCAGATGTGATTCATATGTGAATTACATGTAATTCATATGTATTTTTTTGTGATTCATATTTGAATTACATGTGATTTTTATCGATGAAACATGTAATGTAACTAACTATCTAGGTTATTGTAAAGGAATTACATGTGATTCAAGAACAATAATTAATCAGTAAAAAAGGTACAACTTTTAGTAATTTTTAATTCTTTTTTAAGAAATGAATTTTTTTACTCAACTTGAAAATTACCTGCATTGTGGCTTTAAATCATAAATAACTAATAGTTCAAGACGTAAAGATACTTTAGACATACATATTTGGTATGTAATTTGCAATCACAAAATAAACAAAATGTAGCTAGTTGTACGTGTGCCTTCCGGGATGGTGTAATGCAACATCATATAGTTATCCGTGATAATATTTCCAACTATGTAAATGCTTTCCGGTAATAATTGAGTGCAATTTCAAGAGCCCATCTATCAATCACAAAAGCCACATTTGATAACCTTGTATGTGATGACTGAAAATCACCAGTTGAAAGATAAATTATTGTTTATAACTTTTAACCTTTGAGGGAAAAAATGTCAATTGTTATGTTGTTACCTTCTACAATGTTGAGATTCTTTAGTGCAGTCCACCTTTCCCAGTATGATATGCCCATCTGTTTCTGGATTATGTCTGGCAACCCAAATAAAAAGATTATATAATTCAATTCATGTAAGCAAATGCAGAGTTATATCATATAAGAGATATGGAACTTACCATTGTACTCTGATTCTTCATTCTTCATCTATGAAACAACACATGACATGCTTTCAGGTTTCAATATTGAAGGATCACTTGGGTTTTTGGTGTTAAAGGAAAGGGCATTATCGTCAATATCATCAGCTTTGACTATGTGTTCCTCTGGAACCATAAAAGCATCTTGTTCCATAACTAAAACATTTGGTGCTTCATTGAGATCAATTTTCTCATCTATGATCACCCATTTCTCTTCCGAATCATCATCTTCAGATGGTTCTGAATCTGGTGTTCGATCTTCTTAATCCACGTTCACATGTTGTTCAATGACTTCATCCGATTTCACCTTTAAATCGTCTACCTCACCACAACAGTCTACTTTCTTCTCTCCACTTTCAAGTGTAGTAGTGTCTACATGCACAACCTCCTTCTCATTCTTTGAATTTTCATCACTTTGATTACCCAAATTGTCACACCTCCAAACCAGACGGCGGAAACGTCCGGGGGTGGAGGACTTCATTTGTAGTATCACAACACATGCATTATAGTAATCAAAGTACAAACAACCATTGTATTTAAAAAGTATAAGTATTTACATGTGTTTCATCATTGTATACTGAAACCACATAGTTATACAAAAGAAGAAGACAAGACAGAAATAGCTCCGTCTTCTCAAAAGCTCGGGGAGTACCTGTCTACTGGTTCCCTAAGAATACAAGTAATTTGAAAAGAGAGTATCAACATAAAGTTGAGTGAGTGCATAAGTAGTTATGTTTGAATGAATGTTATATGTTTCTTGAATATGTAAACTGTTTCAGAAAATCCTATATTTTCTGCTGTATATGAAAAATAGTTTTAATCACATAAAACTGTTATGTTTGTAAACCAATGTTATGTATTAGTATTTCTTTTGTAAAACTTGCATTTGTAAGTGTGCCTGGTTCCACCAGCTGTTATTGTAAACTGAAATGTAATACTGTAAATTGTATCTTGTAAAACCAGTACCTTGAAAATGTACTTATGTTTTATTAGTTATACACTAACGTATTGTTAATATCTTTTATATGATTTATTATAACCATATTGACTAGATGGCCTGACCCAACCTTATGGATGCGTTGAAAGCGGTTGATAACAACTGTCACTCGTAGGCATGTATGCCTGACTGTAGCTAGCAGTCTGAGTGCGGGGTTGTCAATCCCAATATAGATCTATACACACAATGTTTCGATCCCCGGCTGGAGATTCTGGTTATAATGTCAGGACTTTAACTATGTTTTTTAAATGAATTAAACAACCTGTATCAAATGACTCATAAAAAGCATATAAACATTACGTGTATAATAGTTATGAAAAACCCAATTATTCTAAAATAAATGATTGACAGTATGTTCTTGAATTAGTATTCTTAACATGTATCTGAAAGATGTATATCCTTGATTAGTTTTTAATCAAACCTTTGTTCTTGTATAACAATGTACTTTAGTATACTTGAATCATGAATTAATGTTCTGTGAATCATAAATTATACCTATAATAATTTATATGTACCCTCTGAATTGATACCGAGTAATCATGAATGCAACCCCTTGCTCCACATGTTACAAAGGGTAACTGAACTTAATGAACTAACTTTTATACTTGTATACATATACAAATATATATAAGTAAAATTTAAATGACACTCGGACAAATAACTGATACTTATAATCCCACATCCAAACAAGGAAAAGGAACCAAAGTGGGTTATCAGTCCTAAGCCTTTTAAATCTTATTTATATAAATATATATATACCAGTATGATTTCTGGGAGAAATATAAGTTTATAAAAACATTTAAAAGAAGTTTAATAATTTGAAATATATTTTGGTGACTTGATGTCATTTTGATACAATCATTGAAAACTATTTGATTTGATGATAGCTGAAATCCATTTTGATAAGATATTTGAAACCATTTGTTTATAACACAAAATCCTTGTGTTAGACTTGTATCCCCCCCCCCCCCTTAAAACAGTAAAAACTATGAAAATAGGGGGTATGAACTCGCCTATAGTGAGTGATTCGAATGTAAGATCGATATAGGATGCTAGGTGTCAAGTGAAGTCTCGAGCACAAACGGATCCTATTAAGCATATAATGACATATATATATATGTATATAATTAGTGTATATAACAACTAATCATGTTAAGGAACCACCTTAGGGACTAGGAAACACTTGGATTGAAGTGTTACAATCACATATGATTGCATTAAAGGGGTTCACGACCACACAAGGGTGTTTACGGCCATGGTGTTTACGGCTATAGTGTTTACGGCCATAGTGTTTACGGCCAATGATGTTCTTGAGGAGGGTTTACGGACAAGGGAGATGCTCATGGCCGTAAACTCTTATTGTTCTTGGGAAATGGTTGTTTTCAAGGGTGTATGTTAAGAGCTTCTATAGGATAACTAGTATATGGAAGATTACTTACGTTTTGAAGCTTGAAGGGGGTGTTCACAGTCTAAAGAACTAGTGTGTGCTCTTGGTGTTCATGGTGTTCTTGAAGATCTAACCCAAAAGAGATGAATTCAAGGATGAAATCAAGGGGTTTTACAAGATCAAGAAGGATATCAACTTAAGAATGGAAGAATCACTTACAAATTTGGTGAGAATTAGAAGTGTTCTTGATGATACTTGAGAGAATTTGAGAGTTCTTCACTAGAGGATATGAGAAATGAAGAAAAAATGAAGAAAATCTATATATATGTGCAACGGTTCACGGTCTGAGGTTTTACGACCGTGAACCTCGTTTACGGCCCGAGGTCGGTTAGAGTTTACGACTGTGAACAAGTTCTAATGCGATTAGGTTTGGTTTCCGAGAAGATAAGATCCGAAGAGTATACGGCCGAAGCCGTTCACGGCCTCATTTACGGCTGCGAGGGTTTACGGTTGTGAGGAATGTACGGCCGTAAAATCTTTGCGGTCCGAAGTGTTTGCGATCCGAAGCGAAGGAATAGTATGTGAAGTTTCTCGGTTTTCAAGCCTTTTCCTTCTAAATTCAATTTTAATTATTTTAAGGATTTTTAACAAGCAAAGGTTATTATTATTATAACCTAAATAAAAAACCCAAACAATAAAAAAAAAGACCTTAGTTGACCCTCGTTTGACTTGAGTTGACTTTACACGATAGGAAATAACAGGATGTTACATTATCCCCCCGTTAGAGAGAATTTCGTCCCGAAATTAGATTTTAATCAATTAAGCAATTACAAATAACTAAGCGAAAAGATGAGGATATTTCAGTTTCATTTGATCCTCGCGCTCCCAAGTGAATTCAGGTCCCCGCTTGGCGTTCCAGCGAACCTTCACTATAGAAATACGGCTTTGCTTCGTTTGCTTGACCTCTCGGTCCATGATCTCTACTGGTTCTTCCACAAAGTTGAGGCTCTCGTCGATCTCGATTTCGTCGAGTGGGATTACAAGAGTCTCGTCGGACAGACACTTTTTCAAATTCGAGACATGGAAAACAGGATGTATGTTACTTAGTTCTTTAGGTAGTGGAGTTTGTAAGCTACTGGACCGATTCTAGCAAGAATCTAGAATGGTTCTATGTAACTTGGATTCATCTTGTCACGCTTTCCAAAGCGTATCATGCCCTTCCAGGGTGAGACCTTCAACATGACACGGTCACCAACCTGGAATTCCAAAGGTTTTCTTCTTTTGTCAGCGTAGCTTTTCTGTCTATCTCTAGAAGCTTTAAGTCGCTCCCAGATTTGTACTATTTTCTCCGTAGTTTCGCGAATGATTTCCGGACCAGTGAGAGCACCGTCAGGAACTTGACTTCTAGCTAGCTGCATGTTACCCACTTCAGCCCAGCACAGAAGTGATCTGCACTTGCGGCCATAGAGAGCTTCGAAAGGAGCAGCCTTTATGCTAGTATGATAACTGTTGTTGTAAGATAATTCGACAAGGGTTAAATAAATATCCCATGCCTTTCCAAAGTATATCACGCAAGCTCACAACATATCTTCTAGAGTTTTAATCGTTCTCTCACTTTGTCCGTCAGTTTGTGGATGGTAGGCTATACTCATGTCCAGCCTAGTTCCCAAAGATTTTTGTAAAGACTGCCAGAAACGAGAAGTGAATCTACTATTTGGGTCAGAAATAATAGATATTGGCACACCATGCAGTCTAACGATTTCTTTGAGGTAAGTTCTTGTTAGCTTCTCCATCTTGTCGGTTTCTTTTATTGATAAAAAGTGTGCGGATTTGGTTAATCTATCGACGATTACCCAAATAGTATCATAACCACCCGATGTCTTGGGTAACTTGGTTATGAAATCCATTGTAATCCGCTCCCACTTCCATTCAGGGATTTCAGGTTGTTGCAATAAATCTGAAGGTTTCTGGTATTCTACCTTGACTTTTGGCACAAGTAAGGCACTTGCCCACGAAGGTAGCAATTTCAGCCTTCATGTTAGGCCACCAGTATAGTTTCTTGAGGTCCATATACATCTTGTCTGAACCTGGATGAATGGAGTATCGGGTTTTGTGTGCTTCATTCATAACCACATCTCTATAACCACCGAACTTTGGTGTCCAGATCCGGTTCATGAAACAATAGATTCCATCATCCCTGACTTTGAAGTTTTTATCCATTCCTGTCAAGGTTTCACTTGCCACGTTTTCAGGTTTTAAGGCCTCGAGTTGAGCCTCTCCGATCTGTGTGGACAGATGTGAATGGATTGTTATGGTCAACGACTTTACTCGGCGTCCCGTGTATTCTTTTCTGCTAAGGGCGTCAGCTACTACGTTACCTTTACCAGGGTGATAAAGAATCTTACAATCGTAGTCGTTCAGTAGCTCCACCCATCGTTGTTGTCTCATGTTTAGCTCTTTCTGATCGAAGATATGCTGGAGACTTTTATGGTCCGTGAATACTGTGCATTTCGTGCCATATAAGTAATGTCTCCAGATCTTCAGAGCAAATACCACTGCTCCTAATTCAAGGTCATGTGTTGTATAGTTGACTTCATGCGTCTTTAGCTGTCTTGAGGCATAGGATATAACCTTTCCTATTTGCATAAGAACACATCCAAGCCCTTGATTAGAAGCATCACAGTACACTACGAAATCCTCTGTCCCTTCAGGAAGAGATAGGATTGGTGCACTACACAGAGCTCGCTTCAGCGTTTGAAACACTGTTTCTTGCTTTTCTCCCCAGCTAAAAGTTACACCCTTTTGCGTCAGGGTGGTAAGAGGCTTAGCTATTCGGGAGAAATTCTGGATGAATCTGCGATAGTAGCCAGCAAGACCTAAGAATTGACAGATTTTTGTAGGTGTTTTGGGTGCTGACCAGTTTTCAATTGCCTTTATTTTGGAAGGGTCAACGTGTATTCCTTATGAACTGACCACGTGACCTAGGAAATCAACCTTCCGGGATCCAAAATTCACACTTTGCAAACTTCGCATAGAGTTTCTCTGATCTAAGAGTTTGCAATACTTGACGAAGATGTTGGCCATGTTCCTCTTCACT